TCTGTCCCTCCCTCTCTTCAGCGTCACCCCAACGGCTCTGCCAGGGGCCTGGATAAAGGGCTGAGTAAAAGCTGGGTCTTATTCAAGAGGTTCTATAGACAAGGAAACAGTGAGATAAATGCTGGCCCCAAGCCCGAGCAGAGTGCAGAGGGGACGGAAGAGGACCCGATCGGCCTGAGGAAGCAGGGCAAGGGTCAGCAGGGACCCAGGATTGCCTCCCTCAATCCACTCTGGGCACCGGAAGCCCCAGTAGAAGTTCCCCCGAAAGCCAGAACCGCCCCTCTGGCTGGTGTCTGTTTTTAGCAACTCTTACCACTGGAAGGAAAAAGTACTTAAAATATACCACCCTCTGAGACTTTTATTCCCTGTAAAACTGTCAGGCTCCTCACTCAGCTTTCTCTTTGGAATGAAGCGTTCCGGTTTATTTTGGCAACCAGGCTGAGCAACAAAGACCAACTTTCTCAGAGCCGCATGGACCCCTCCTATCAAAGCTATCTGCTGCCGGCCCACGAACCAGGGAAACTGGTCTGGCATCTCGCATGAATCGAGGGGACCCTCTTTCAACAGCTTGATTCCTGACAATCCGTGGCCTATCACCCAGAGCACTAGAGAACACTGTAAGTTTGAAGACATCGTAAATAACAAGGTGCCTGTGTAGAACTTCAGGGACTCCCAGGGAAACTGTCCAACTCCTATTGGTCAGTGCACTAGGGCCAGAGGGCAAAACATGGTTCAGCACCCACATGCATTTGACTTCTCCCAGGGAGCGCTCACCACACATATACGGGCACTTGGTAGAGTGGCCTATAAACATCTTACCACGGACGTATACCACACATACATACACAGATGCATACATCTCCACATACATACAGAGGTGCCAAAAAAAGAAGTATACACATTTTAAGAAAGGAAAAAACTGTATTAAAATTGTATTCCTCAATATTACCAAAACCAGAAAAGGAACACAAGTCACGCTGAGCACCTCTTGTAATTGCAGAAGTCAAATGTGACTTGTATTAAAAAAATTTGATACTTTTTTTTTCTTTCTTAAAGTGTGCATACATTTTTTGGCACCCTCTGTATGTGTGTATGTATATACATGTATATATGTACATTTTATCATGGTAACATATATATAACATCAATGTACCATTATAACCATTTCTACAGGTGCAGCAGCAATAAGTTCATTCATATTTTGTTGTGGAACCATCAGAACTCTCACCATCTCCAGAATTTTTGCACCATGCCAAATTGAAACTCCATAGACATTAAACACTAACTCCCCATCCTCCCCTCTCCTCAGGCCCCTGGTAATCTTTATTCTTTCTGTCTCAGCGTATTGGACTATTCCAGGTTCCTCAGATAAGTGCAATCATACAGAGTCAGTCTTTTTGTGACTGGCTTATTTTACTTAGCATAATGTCTCTGAGGCTCACCCATGTTACAGCATGTGTCAGAATTTCATTTCCTTAAGGTTGAATAATATTCCATTGCAGGTCCATACGTTTTGTTTCTCTAGTCCGATCATTCAATGAACATTTTCCATCACTGAGTATACTCTGCTAGGAGGGCTGTGTTTTACATCAGGCCTATGAGTTCCTTTTCCCTCTTTTGAGCTGATTCTCTCCTGCGTGTATACTTCATAACACATTATGTAGTATTCATTCATTCACATGTTTAAGTGGTTTGCATGCTTTATTCTTGGTTCTCTGTACAATTGCTAAGTCCCTTGAATGCAGGGACCTCATCTTCTATTTTCCACGTACCATCCTCCCACCCCAACCTCCAGTATGATGCCCGGGAACCATGCCTTGCTCACTCCTACACCTTGTTACAAACCCATCTGCAACAACTGAAGCTTCAGTAAATACTTCCAAAAAATGAATGGAGCATAAGGCTTAAAATGTGTCACTTGTCTACTCCTGAAATGGTAAACAGACCTCAAGAAGCAAAACTCATCTTCCTTCAAATGCTAATGCATTCCAAGTTTTGGTCCTTTTATTCTCCTTCACTCTGAGCATCAGCTCTGTAAAGAACACAGGCTGATGGATGGAAGGAGACTGAGCACTTTTGAAGTTAAGTGCACACAACCTAGTCCAGGGCTGCTGAAACCTTTCCACTACAGACATGCCCAGGGAGAGAGTAAGTAAGCCTTTGGGCTACTGGAGGCAAGCTTGGAATTTGCTGAGGACTCAATTTTTCACTTGAAAAAGTGGTATGAATTTTACATTCTACTCTGTTCATGCTTGGTTTTTAATGTTAAAATATTTAAGTCGGAGGCTGGATGAGGTGGTTCACACCTGTAATCCTAGCACTCTGGAAGGCCGAGGCAGGTGGACTGCTTGAGCTCAGGATTTCAAGACCAGCCTGAGCAAGAGGTGTGGTGGGCACCTATAGTCCCAGCTACTCGGGAGGCTGAGGCAAAAGGTTGGCTTGAGCCCAAGAGTTTGAGGTTGCTGTGAGCTATGATGCTATAGCACTCTACCAAGGGTGACAAAGTAAGACTTTATCTCAAAAAAAAAAAAGTTTAACTCAGCCCACTGGTGTGAATGAGGTGTGTGCATGCATGCCCAGTTACGAAACACAGTGCCTGCCCATTACAGAAATGAGGTACCAACTCAACAGCTGGGGTTTGTAGGAGGAAAGCTCAGCCGGCTTTGTATCCATTCAATGCAGTCTGACAGCTGACTTGAATGGGCTGGCTACATAGAATCTGAAAGGGCAACTAGCATCTCCAGTAGGAGAGGACAGACTGGTGTGCAGTCTGAAAAGCAAGACACAGTCCCAGAGCCTCAGTGGCAACCCCAGAGGTGACTTCTGTCCACGTGACACTAGTGACATGGGAGGAGGCTGGAGGCCAGATGGGGTGGTTGGCCCAACAGAGCATATCTGTAAACGTTGGAAAGAGGTTTCAATGCCTTGGGGTACGGGGTCAACCTCCTGTCACTGACAGTTCTGTCTTCGGGGTTGCAAGTCCTATTGTAAGGCAGCCTTAGTAGGAGACATTCAGAAAAGGAAGGAAGCCTACCACTTCTGTAAATATTAAATTCGGTCCATGGTTTTACTCTGAAGGATTAGAAAAGCATTCTTCAGGCAGCACTGGAGGGGTCTTTCTGATCTGTATTTTATTCTATTTTATTGTTGTCATTGAGACAGGGTCTCATCCTGTGCTCTAAGCAGAGTGCGGTGGCATCACCATAGCTCACTGCAACCTCAGACACTGGGGTTACAGGCGTCTGCTGCCTCAGCCTCCTGAGTTGCTGGGACTACAGGCACTTGCCACAATGCCCAGCTGGGTTTTTTATGTTTTGTGGAGGTGGGGGTCTTGCTCTTGTTCAGACAAGAGCTCCTGAGCTCAAGCAATCCTCCTGCCTCAGCCTCCCATAGTGCTAGAATTTCAGGATGAGCCACTTTGCACAAGAGCCAGCATTTAAAAAGCATATCTAAGAACTGCTTCAGAGGAGGACCCTGGACTTTTCTATCAGGCCCTTCAACTCCTCCCTGGGCCGTTTCTCTGAGCTGGTAACAAACGCCACAGCAACATACAGGTGAGAGGCCAGTGAGCTGCAGCCTTCGGCTCTCTGAGTGTAACCTTCTGCTCAGCATCTCTTGTGGAGGCTTCTGCCACAGACCTCTAAGTCATGTGATCCCGGGACTCAATGAATTCCCACTTGGGGCATTCTGAATCCTCCTGGCCCACCCAGAGGGTGTCTTGGTGAAGTTCCCCGCATTCTGGAGCCTTTCCATGGTGATACACAATGCCTCTCTCTCAAGTCACCTGTAAACCAGAGGCTGTTTTTTCAAACCCAAAGACCCCAGGAGAAGTAGCAAAGGTGCACTGTCAGGTCTCCAGGCTGGAGCTGGAGCTTGGGGGCTCTACTCCCAGATTCACCACTGCCGCCCTGCCCCAGGCTGGCAACTTCAGCCCCTGTGTGCCACCTGTGGAAAGCGCAGTCACTGCCTTCCTGACCTCTAGGACTGCAGTTTCCCACCAGTTGAATCTAGGGCATCTCTTGAACCTGGTCTCTCTCAAAACCTTTCTTCTGGCTCGGCGCCTATAGCTCAACCGGCTAAGGCGTCAGCCATGTACACCTAGGGTGGCGGGTTCGAATCCCCAGCCCGGACCCGCCAAAACAACAATGACGGCTGCAACCAAAAAATAGCCGGGCGTTGTGGCGGGCGCCTGTGGT